CACTATCTACAATATTCATTTCTATATGTCGCTATTTGTGTCTCACAATATATAATCTACTCACACACATAAATTATTGACTTCCCGTAGGGCAAGTTATTGTAATGGGCCGAAAATCGAAATTGAAAATTTTTACATTTCTCGACGTTTTGAAGGTTTCTGAACATTTTGGCATATCTCAGAAAAAATGGATGGATGTGTGTGTGTGTGTATGTATGTATGGATACAAATTACCAGTGTCACGTTTTCGGGCGCACGGATCAACCGATTGAATGGTTCAAAAAACATTCGATTCCTAGTGATAGGGGAAGAGCTGATTAGTTTTTGGAAAAAGCAGGTCCAGCCGTTTCGAAGATATAAGAAAAGCAGAGCAGAAAATAGAAATCGAGTTTTTGAGAGAACGGAGTATCCGATTTGAATGATCTAAAAAACATTCAATTAGTAATGATTGGGAGGAGAAGTGTTTATTAGTTTTTGGCAAAGGCATGCCCAGCCATTTCGAAGATATGGAGCTAAATATATAAAAAATGGCAGTTTTTGAGAGAACTAAGCGTTCAATTTAAATGATTCAAAGAACTTTCTGCTTGTCTTAACAAAATAATTGATCTTGGAAAAAAAAATTTGTTTCTTTTTTTTTTCAAAAATTTTTTTTTTTTGTAAAACGAAAATAATTCAGATTTTATTTTTAATTCTGACTATAGTTCTAATATATTTTAAACAAATAATTACAACTTTGCAATTCAGTTTATATAATTCTTATAAATATTAGACAATGTTACAATATTAATAATTCAATTAATAAAAAACATTCAGTATTCCTCGAATATTTTGTTACGGTACGAGAAGTTCCAGCAATTTGCCTTAAGACACGATGCCATACACCCCACTAGTTTTTTTGTTATTTTATGTCATGCTAATTATGTCAACACAAAGGTCTATAAAAATATATTTAATAACAATAATGTTAATTTTTCTTAATTTTTCTAAATTTTTCTACTCATCCAGATTTATTTTTCGCAACTGATCGTGAAATATGACAGTATTTCAGAATAACTTGGTATAGAATAAAAATGAGATTTAATATAGGTATGCAAGTGTCTGCTGAATTTATTTGAAATATATTACATTATTATTATTATTATTATTATTATTATTATTATTATTATTATTATTACTACTATTATTATTCAATTCACGTTTGAATAGTATTTTCCTTTCCATAAAAGTCTTAAAAGCATCATTCATAAGCAATAAAAACGTAATATGTTCCAGTAACTTTTATAGGTTGCTCTTATGAAATGGTACGGTATAATAATTTTTATTCAAAGTTGCTACTTGATTCAAATATTTTTGTAATCCAGTATTCTAATTTAAATTTCATTTTCATCACAAGCAAGATAAATTTTCCTAACAAATCCTTTCATATAACGCTTTAATCCGCTCCAAGTTTCCAATTAGTTCCACGGAGCGCGCGCCGAGCGCTCGTTCGTTTATTTTATATAGGAAGCCTTTCACTGGAACCGGTTACGGTTTAAGGTTCTAACTTTTGAGTCATACACAAGTCGCAGACAAATAAAAATCATATATCACCATGGATCAAAATCGTGACTAGATTTTATTGCTCTGACGGGCGTCACTAGTTGGTTCTCGATTTACGACTGAAAATTCAGTCTAATCTTGGAAGAAAGAGAACAAGGTATTATAAAGCCCGACGTGGATAATTAGAAAACGATATTGGATACGGTGGTCTGGAACCTACTTCTGATGTAAGAGATTCGGATACATGGATGGAAATGGTTTCACGGATTTATCAATGGTGTGGTAATGTTTACTTGATGGGCAGACGCGATATTGGGGCAAATTTTCCGGTAAAATAGACCGTAGCATAGCGTTGTTATGGCAACGCTATGTTATTCTTCATTCTTGGTACTAAAAACTTGTATACTGAAACATACGTATTTACTATGCAGTCAGGCGTTTTCAATATAAAATCTAGCCGAAAAAAACGTACAAACTTTACACAATGTTATCATAAATGCATCTTTCTAATGTGCATTTATATCACATACATGAAGTTAGGTTTTATGTATATATTGCTTGATTACACAGCAAATACATAGATTTTGATAGATTTTAGTACCAAGGAAGGAGCGTAACATAGCGTTGCCATAACAACGGTATGTTGCTATGGCAACGCTATGCTTCTATTTTATCAAAGAATTGGCCCACAAATCTTACAATTAATCTTGAAAATTAGAGTACTTAAAGCTATATGGAAAAATTTATGCCAATTTACTATAATATATACTAGTAATATTGTCATATATAAATCAGGACTTTTTCTAAATTGTTTTCTGTTTCAATATTCATTTACTTTGCCTCGTGTGTTTAAAGTAAATCTTATTAGAACCGAATACATTTAGAACTATTTATTTAATAGCATTGTGATAAAGAAAAACGAACAGAATATATCAAAATAACAATAGTATAAACATATCGTAATATATTTTTTGTAAATATGATAAAATTAAATATTCAATCATTTTTCTTTCCATCTCTCGACCCTGATCATAAGAAACAAGTTTCCTTGAAGACAACATTCAAAGTACGCTTTTATTGAATCAACTCAAAAATGATCATAAATAAGTGATTTTATGATTATTTCTCAGTTTTATCTCGTCTTAAAGTATGCATATTCATGGAGTTTATGCAGTTGGCATTTTACTCAATAAGCAAATCTGCCGAGATGTTTATAATCGTTATTGAACGATTCAAGGTGAATTTTTAAATCTGATTTTGAAACGTGCTCATTCCGCATGTTTCATGCTAAAATCGATTCGTTGGCCTTAATTTTTTGATTGAATTATGTTTATGATATTGTAAACAACATGCGGTACTAGAATTAAGAGGTAAAAGCGTTTGTGAAAGAAAATGAACAGATCTTAGCACTTGTAAGTAATGTAAACCATACGAAATTATAATGAAAGTTCCATATGGCCCTCCTCATAAATCTAAAAACTTATAAGAATAATTTTACAGATAATACTTCTAATACAAAACGAAAATGTTCAACTTAATATAAATGTTTTTTTGACACAAAGATTTATATAATTACAAATAAATAATGCAAAAGTAGCAAGTAAATAAAAGTTACTTTACAATACTTTCTTGAAGTCTTGTGAACAGTTTTATCAATATATTTAGATTTTTTGTTAAATTTATCAAATCAAATATATTTAAATTTAAATAGACACTATCTGAGGCAAACACTGATTACTGAAACCTAAAATTAATTATGTTATCTTGCCTAAGATGCAATTGCTGCTGCTAAGTACTATTTTGCTTAATTTGCATAAGAATCTGCTGTAAGTATTTGTGTATTAGTTATTGCAATTAGATAATTGTGTATTCAGATATAACTAAATATTTCAATATTGAACAGATTTGTTCGAATTTTATCTTTTTTATTCTCCGGAATTATATGTGGTCTCTAAACGTGAGTCACGTGGTATTCAAAGTAGTTCCGGTGGAGAAATTCCGGGGAATTCAGTGATGCGATGAATCACAAAATACTTTAGATATGAAGATGCTTTAATGGCTACATAAAACTAACTTTTGTCCGATATATTTTATGTAATTGTCAATAAAGTTATATTATACCTGTGATTGAACCATAACAATGAATTTAATGTGTCTATTTAATAGTCATGACATTACATATTCAACTAATGGATCTTATAAAAAAGACAAGATATACATAATGAATGTTAAAAAAATACTGAAAGGCAATCGGGTCGTAAAAGTCGTGATGAAGAATATGATTAATCAGATCAAATACATTTCTAGATCAAAATTTTAGGAATGACTATATATACTTGTATCACTGGTGATTCATAAAAATTCATATAATTTAATAAAAAAAATATTTATGATCATGTCATTAAATTAAAAATAAACTAAATACACTATTATGATTAAGATGAAAGTACATTTTTCATTTTAATATAGCCTTTTTATGAACAGGATGCCCTTTTCAGAAAATATAGAGATCATCAATGTATATGGTTTAGGTAAAAAAGGACCAATTCAATATTTGCTTTTATGATAAGCATAATAAATTATATTTTCAGAATGTATTGTGCAAGGTGCACTCTAGGGTCCTCAGCTTGGAGGTGAATAATTGGATACCTTAACACATTTTTTAGACCCGCACTTTAACCCGCATAAATAAATTTACTTATTTGATATCTATTTCTTATGTTTTAGAATACACCTATATACAAAAATAATCAGGAAAATCTTATATACTCGTATAAAATTCCGCACGCCAAAGACGTCTTAGTCACCCAAAAAAAAAGTTAATTCAAGACAAACCTATACATATATAATTATATGAACATATTTATGAAATCAATCAAATTTTGTTTAAAATCTTTGATTAAAGAACAGAGTAAAATACAATATATGCATCAAAATATTATGTATGTATGTATACTAGGGTGGTCCTTAATAGGGACATTTTCGAATTTCCTTGCTCCCAAGGCTCAAATGGTTCCAAATTGATAAAAACAATTCTCTGAAAGTTTTAGCTCTTAATATTAACTTTTAGATAGTGCGCAATTCAATCAAACTTCGTATGGAAATATCATAAAAAAATTTGGAAAATTAAAAAAAATTTTTAGGTATAACAAATGTATTAAAAGTGAAAATTTGTGTCATTTTTTATTGAAAATTCGACGCTCTGCAAAACAGGTTTTTTATAATTTGTTTTGTAGAGCGTCGAATTTTGAATAAAACTTATTCATTTGTTCGCTAAATTAATAAATAAATAAATATTATAATATAAATATAAAATATAAATTATATCTAAAAACACTAAAATTCTATAGCAAAGCGTATAAAATATTATTATTATTGAAAATATTATTTAATATTATTAATAATTGTGAAATATTATTTAATATTAAATTCAATCTTTCTAAAATGCTAAATTCACAAACCTTTTCATCTTTCGTCAATATGATCTCATTAGAATTCGCAGTAGTTTTACTAGAATCTTTTGAATCCTTTGGAGTATCCTTGCGTTTATACCTGAACTTAATCATCTTGCAAATTCTCTATTCAGAATCAATTAAAATCACTAATCATATACTCGGCGACATTCTAGGTTACGTAAATTGAATTGGAAACGGTGAAATCACACATGACACATTAAAATTTTAGTTCCGTATAGCCATAATCTCATAAATGAAGATATTTGTGAAGAATTATGTAAAAAGGCCCAATTAGTCCGATATATGCGTAACTTTTATGTTAAAAAATCCATATTAAAATTTTAGAGATCATTAGGTAAATGATTCATGGAAGTAATCAATTTAACTCA